GGGGCTGGGCGTCGCGCTGCTGCCGTTGAGGGAGCCGACGGAGCTGGCGAGATGGACGAAGCCGGCGGCGCGCATGTTGGGGCCGAGGATCCTGCGCGAGTCCATGGCACCCTCGCGGTGGCGGGCGAGCTGGGTCGCGGAGAGGGCGGCCGGGGCGCGATGGCTGCGGACGGTGCCCCCGGAGGTCGTCGAAGCCGACGCGGTGGGCGACCTGGAGCGGCGGCGCCTGACGGGCGGGGGCGGGGGCGGGCTGATGGCGTGGGTGCTGGAGCTGGCGGACGAGAGCGCAAAGGGCGGGGCGAGAGGCGTGTGCTTGGTGCGGGATGAGGTGAAGACGAAAGAGGTGGATCCGCCGCCGGGGCTGGTGGGCGAGGACGCGGGGCGGTAGACGAGGGGCGCGGGGAGGGGCTTGGGCCTGCAGTCGTCGAGATTGAGCGGGGGCGGGGGTGGGCTCTTGCGCTGGGGCGACCGGGGTGGTGGAGCAGCGACGAACGCTGCTGAGCTTGGCCCGGCGGCGAAGGAGCTCATCGTGGGCTGTGGCTCTCAGACGAGCGTTGCCGGTCGCGCGGTGGGGAGGGGGAGGGCGGGCGACGACGGGGCGTGCGTCATGCAGGCGTGCGGGGGAGTGAGAGTCAGTTGAGCCCAGCGCGGGATGGACGGTGGATGAGTGCGGAGGGAGGGCAGCAGGCGTCTCCGCGTCCTCTTTTGAGAAAACGGCGTCCGTGTCTGCGCTGCAGAACGTGTGGGAGGAGGAGGCACGTTGGCTCCCCGGGGTCCTGTGTGACGCGCTCGCGCACAACGCGCGCAACCAACCCGGGGCTCCGGACCAGGCTCCGTGCCAGTCCAGACTCGCCCACCACGCGTCGCACGTGAGCGGCGCGTTCTATCTTATCTGCGCGACGCTCCCGTTCGGGCGCACGCGTCCATATATGCTCCCAGCTTCGCGCGCGCCCCTGCTCTGCTATCGCTCTCTGCATCGTCCTGCTGCTCGGACGCCCCATCGGACGACCACTTTCCTGCGACTACTAGCGACCATGTCTGCCCAGACCGTCGAGATCGCCGTACCCAAGACGGGCAGGAAGATTCAGGTCCCCACGGGCCTCTTCATCAACAACGAGTTTGTACCATCCGTCGACTCGAAGGAGTCCATCGAGTGCGTGTCGTCGGTGACTAGCCTGCCAATCCCCTTTCTCGCCGCCGTTGCTGCCACGCCGGATCCGCGGAGCATCGCACGGCGCGGCGTCTTCCGTCGTGCCACCGTCATTCCCCCGGTGTTCTTCCCGCCTTCTGGCCGCACACGCTGACCTGTGTCGCAGGTGCGTCAACCCGGCCACGGAAGAGGTCATCTGCTCGGTCGCTGCAGGTGCGTACTCTCCTTCACACAGCACACCCGCTGTCTGGACTCGGCCCCGCGCTGGGCGGATGATCGCCCGCCTCCGTGCCCTGCATGATCAGGGACATGGATCGCCGTCGGTCGATGTGCGTGGAGCGGTACCTGCGGCGTCTTGCCGCAGCCTGCCCGCCCGCCAGCCCGACACCGATCGTCTGTCAATCCAGAGTACACCCAGCGCGGCACATGACGTCGTCGCACACCGTTGTGGGGCCCAGCGTCGCCGCGCGCACAGCGAGTGTGCCTGCGCCCGACGCATTGGCAGGCTTCCCCGCAGAGTCAATGCGCGCCCCTTCTGGCCGCGGCCTGTGCGCGACACCGACTTGTCTTCGGTGTTTTAGGTCGGGGGTGCCTCGAGACGTGTGCCGCGTACCGTCGCGTCGGTGCTAGCCCTCTTTGCACGCACCGCCTGCCTTCTCTGGTCTGTCCATACATGCCACCCCGCCGCTTCTCTTGTTCTCCGTGTCGGCGCCGCTGTCCGGCAGCCCTCTCGACACGCCGCCTTTGCTCGCCCCCCTTCGCCCGCCCTCCGTGTCGGGTCCGCGCCACCGTCTCGCGATAGTCTCCGAAGGGGTGCGCGGTGTCCTGGCCCCGTCTTCCCGCCGGCGCAAAGAGGCTTCTCTGGTGGGATTGTCGCCTAGGCCCGTGTATCGGCTACTGGCTGCGACGCCACCCCTACATGTCTCCAGCTACGAGGGGCCATCTCGCCCTGCGACGCGGCCGCCTTCGCACACTCTGCGACCCACTGCGTCATCCTTGAACTGACCCCCTCTACAGGCTCCGCCGCGGACATCGACCGTGCCGTTGCGGCAGCGCGCGCGGCGTTCAAGACGACGTGGGGGAAGAACGTCACGGGCGTCGAGCGATCGCGCCTGATCAACAAGCTCGCGGACCTCATCGAACGCGACGCGCAGGAGCTCGCGGAGCTCGAGACGCTCAACAACGGCAAGCCCGTCCGCATCGCGCGGTGAGTGCGCGTTCACTCCGCCTAAAAGTTGATTTACTGACTGGTTATGTGCCCGAACACTGCATATATGTGGGTCATTTCTTGGGATTACAGAGACTTTGACATCGGCGACAGCGTGTCTTGCCTGAGGTATTACGCCGGCTGGGCAGACAAGATCGCAGGCCAGGTAAGTCGCGTCCCAGTCATCTGCACTCCCACCCCCTCTCGTTCCCTGTCCTGTGCAACTTTCCCAAGCCTGCCCTCCGCCTGAGAGCACCATCCACACACAAGCGGCCGCCCGGGCGGACTACTCGGGGCTGTGGACCGCTCTGATCTCCCCGACGAGACCGAGTCCAAGCTTAGCCACCCCCTTCTGAGGATCGGGCGCAGCACGCCTCCGACGCGGGCCCTGTCTGCGGACGGTCTCCGTGGCTCGTGTGGGCGGAACAGCCCCACCTCGCGCGCCCGACCGTTCATTCAGTCGTCGTGTAGGCACAGCCATCCACTGTAGCCCGTCGATCGCCGGCGCGATGCTCTGTTGCTGGGTTGTTGGCGAGACGGAGATGCGCGTCGATGGCGTGCGGGATGCTGCGGTCCATGGGTATCGGTTTCCTCCCTCTGCTGAAAGGCGATAGCAATTGAGTCGAGGACTGATCGAGTTTGGGGTGGTGGCGATGGATGGTCATACTCCGAGGTTGTCGGGCAATCTGGGTGGGCCGATGATTAGCGTTCGTTTCTCGTCGTGCGCGGTTTACGTTCGCATTCGCAGGCGTGATGGGCGAGCTGTGCGGCTGCGCTCTAATCCACACCGCCGTCTATTTGAAGGATGCTATGACATGAACATCCGGCCCTTACCGACTTCTGTCAGAAAGTCCCTTGATCTCATTTGCGGATGCCCTCACGTCCCTGAATTTCATGCTGACGCCGCGTCCCTCCGCAGTCCCTCGAAGTCGACAACAAGACCAAGTTCGCGTTCACTCGGCACGACCCCATCGGCGTCTGCGGCCAGATGTACGTTCCGGTCTAACTCTTACGCTCACAACCCACCCCCTCCGAGCCTCCGAGATCCCACGTCATTTGCCGTGTGGAGTGCACTGGGCTGACGCATCGTGATTTTCGGCGCATATAGCATACCATGGAACTACCCGATCAATATGTGGTCCTGGAAGGTCGCCCCCGCGCTTGCGATGGGGTGCACGATCGTCATGAAGCCGAGCGAGCTCACACCGCTCACGGCGCTGGTGAGTGCCGTGTATTTGCTATCCACACTCATTCGAAGCCCCCGCCCCCTCTCTCGTCGGTGCGCCATTTGTCTTGGACCGGAGCGTGCATTCGTTTCCCCGCACGGGTGCACGGAGCGGCAATGCTGCCCACAGTCTCCGGGCACAGCTTTCTCTATGCTTCGTCTTCCCTTCCTGCGCTTCCCGAAGGCCCGGTCGAGGGCCTATGCGGCGATCTCCTTCTAGCTCAAATCCGCTTCGGGCATCACTTTGGGTCGGGGCTCACCCGGGAACCTGTCCGAGTGAGAACAACGTCGAGCTTCTGTACCTCGGCGTGCGCGTAGGTGTGCGCGTATGTATGTGTGCGCGCGTGGTACGACTGGGTCCGAGGGCACCTTCTCTGTCCGGTTACCTTCTTATGGCGGTTGTGGAAGCGGTGCTTCTCGTTCGGAATCCAGAGCTTAACAGACGTGGGGCGTCTGGGTAACCGCATGGATATCTCGGGCGACTGTGCTACGCAGGGGTGCTGTTCAATGGCTTGTTTCGCGGGAATCGCCATGCCACTTTCACAACAAGCACAACGTCTGGCGCATGGGGATGCTCGGGGTCGCGCGAGCAGTCGGCGCGCTGCGCTGCGCACCGTTCTTTACTTTCTGGGTTTGCACGCGGAAGCTGGGAGGCCGACCCGTTTACCTCAGTTTATGCCGCGCTTCGCCGTCGTCGGTGACCCGCTGCTTCCAGGGGGATGGCCGGCCGTCGCACAAAGTGACGTCGTTGATGGCAAGTTGACAGGGAGGAGAAGCAAGGTACGAAGGACAGTGCTGACAGCGATCGTCCCGAAGTTGCTCTTGACAGGTTCTTCAACGCGCGTGAGACCTGGAGGGCGCGGGAATTGTGTCAATAGGGCGCGCTGCCAACGCAACGTCGGGTGCAGCGTGTTCAGCCTCGGCCGGTATGCCTCTTTCCCTAGTTTCTATCGCAGTTGCTCATGATCAGCGATCAGCGTCATGCGGCGTAGCAGACCGCAATAGATGCGATGCGGGTCTTCCATGGAAACTTTGGACATCTTGGCCCATTCTTGGGCTGTTGAGTTTGCTTTAAGGCTATCGTCTTCTGGGAGACGATGATGGAATGACATGCAGAGCAGCCCGAGCAGCCCGAGACGGATTGAAGACTCGTGCGTGTTGGCTTCTTAGCTGTCATTGCAGCCGCTTGTTAACTTTTCTGGCACCCAGACAGAAATACATCGGTCAAAGAAAAGGAGGGCGCTGCCACAACACCTTCCTCCTGGAAATTCCGGTGAGTATTCGCACCATGTGTTGTCGCAATGAGGCTTTCCTCGCTTCCTGCACATGTGGCTAGGTCAAGGTATGTTCATTCTCGCTCGAGATCATCGTGGCACAAGGTTGATTTGTATCGACATGCTGCCGCACCCGCGCGGTGTAGGTGTTCCTTTGGCAGCATGTCGCGCATTGTAGGAGTATTCATCTTCCCAAATGAGACGGCCTCGGTCGCCGTCCGCGCGACATCTTGTCTGTGAGTAGTGACAGCTGCAGCTCCGAGGCGAGCAAAATTCGTGCGTGACAGGTTAATATCGGTTGGACAGTCCAGTCGGTTTCAAGTTTTTGCGGCTCAATGTGACACAGGGTGCGAACGGCATGCCCTCGGGATAATCCAGGACTGTCTGGAGGGTGGAGCCACTCATCCCGGGTCCTTGTTCTCCAGCTCGGGGACTCCGAGCTGCTGGCGAGTTGTCGCCACTTGAGCCCCCACTTCCTTCGAGCCTCTGCCCACCATGAAAAAGCTTTTCCACCTTTGCGAAGATGACCTTGCCGACGCGCCACTGGCACAGGTATGGCCACAACCTACTCGTATCCTTCACGATGAGCTGACTCATTATGCTTAGATATTGCCCAACATCGTCGACTCCAGTGTCCAAGTGAGCACTCGAACACGAAGAATCGGACTTGAATGGGACGAGCGTCGTCTCGACACGAAGGTCAGCATGTGGAAGCCGTTCATGAATCATTCCTCATTGTTTAACAGTGCAATACCAATGCTCTCTACTGCAACGAAGCACAGAGGCACGCGATCGCGGCAATACATGACAGCGGACGACAGTTTGCACAAGTTTTCACAACAGGACCATTGAGCCAGGAGCGGGCTCGTCACATTCTGCAGGAGAACGGGCTCGATGACGGGTCGCTGTCAATGCTGGAATCCCGATGGAGTCGCACGACTCAGCGAAGTTGGGATCGGGTGGAGGGTCGGGTAGAGAGGGTCGTATATCAATGGTATTTGTACACCTAGTCTAAGGAGTTCTCTGAATTCATATGTGTCTCGAACTAAGTGTCTGCGGGTATGACCATGATGTACGAAAGCATGGCAGGAAGAGGAAGCTCGATGACAATGCAGACCAGGACCATGGGCAACGACATGCTCCTTACGACTTCACGGCTTGTCTCGCCCACGCCGACATCACATACGTTAAGGCTAGTCGAGAACCTCTGCGAATCATTGGTTACTTTCAACACAATGAGGCCTGTCGAGCAGCACTGCTCGAGCGAGCACCCGCTGTTCCTCTCCATCCTCATGTGTATGATGTTGCTATACGACAGCTACAGCAAGGTGCTAGGTATGTCGCCTGTCATCGGCATGCAATTAACAATAGCACTCATATTTTCTCTTCTTGGGGTCAGTGTCAGTCAGATACAGAAGCGGAACATGGAGATGTTACAAACCTTGGGCTACCGAGGCCAAACTGTATCGCATGCGGCAAACCATCGCTACGAATTGCTGCCCGGCGACTTTAGTCGGCTGTACCGCATGCATTACCGCCAGACGTATAACATCGACATCTCCATCCTGCCGGAACAGAATGTTCACAACTGGTTGGACCCTCTGAGTTCTCACTACCGGAAGGAATTGGCCGAGTGTGTGTTCTATTACGCTGCTCGTATCCATCCGGAAGACCGATTCAAGGTCTGCATTGCGACCCACGAGATGCGACAGGCAACATGGCAATACTGCCACAAGCAACAACTGATCATTGACGGGACGTTCGGTATCTGTACATCTCGCCTCCTCCTCTGGATCACCATGGGTGTCGACAACTCCAACCGTGGTGTACCCGTGGCCCTCTTTCTCTTCTCGGCACCCACTGGGAATCGTGCTACTCATGCCGGATACGATACCAAGATCCTGGCTGAGCTTCTCGCAGAATGGAAGAGGTCGCTCGGTACCCAGGGAGGGGAAGCATTCGAACCCTTCGTGGCGATGTCCGATACAGATACCAAGGAGCGGGGCGCGTTGCTCACTGTATGGCCAGAGATTGTCCTCCTCCTCTGCAAGTTTCATGTCAGGCAGTGTTGGACGAACAGGCGGAAGGCATTGAAGCTCGGAACACTTGTGTCTTTCTGGCAGAACTTCGTCAAGCAACAGCTATACGAGCTGGAAGAGCGGTACAGTCTGTCAGCGATTTATGGCACGGCAATGATACTGACGACATACCTAGCCTCCTTCAGACGACCGAGTATGAAGAAGCCTTGGCCATTGTCGGCGATGTGGAGACTGCATTCACGACTTTGGCATCAGGCCCGGACAGTCAGAAAGCTGCCGACACTGTGATGGAGTTTATTTCGTACCTCCGAGGTACCTGGATGCCTTTCCCGCTCTGGCATAGCTGGGCGAGGAGAGGCCGGTTGGATGCTGCGAAGAAGATGGGCGTCAATGTCGAGATGGTGTTGCCGACGACCAACCATCTCGAATCATTCAATGGCAGTCTCAAGCGGAAATACATACCTCAGTGGCAGCACTCGGGCCGCCGCCTTCGCCTGGATGTCCTTTTGGTCTGTATCAGCTTAGACATCATGCCTAGGGTGTATGCACGCCAGCGCATGCTCACGCAGTATGAAGTGTGGAAAAAGGATCGCTTCGATGTTCCTTTGGGACAATCTTTGCATAAGCATCCGAACGATGCGGACACTGGGGAAAGATCTGAAAATGACCACCCTTATGCATGGTATGCGAAGGACGAGACACGCGACGCAGCCGCAGAAGCCCTGTATCAGTTGAAGCAACTCGAGGCGATCCCTGCTCGTCGGCCCTACGAACTCTGGGCTACTTGTCAGTCCGCGCGGAACATCCCAGGAAAGCCAGGGTTGCAGTACTGGTTAACTGTTCATCCATCCGGCTCAGCGACATGCACCTGTATGGATTGGTTGACACGAGGCGGGGCTTGCAAACATCTCCGGGCTTTCAGGCGACTCATCGAAGCATGGGGACGGCGTGGGGAGTTGAACGTACCCTTCATCTTCCCGACCACTAGGGAGCATGCCATAGCCGTGGCACGACAAAACAGTGTTTGGTACGCTGGCCAATACAGCCAAGCCGTGACAGATCCTGGTTTAGTGTCAGATGCAGCAAACTCTGGGGCCGACGCCGATCACTTACCTGCACACATGTCCGTCAAATTGGTACCCAGCAATACGCAGACAACCTCGGAGTCGTCTCTAGGCTGCCTGATTGGAAGCATACTACCACCTCCTACCATCCCCGACGAAGTCGCCTCACTCCGTCAAGCTGCTGAATTAGAGGGTGCAGCGAATGTAAATGTTAGTCTGGGCACTGTGGAAGGTCATCTTATCATCTCAGGCTTGACCGCGCAATGGCTAACATAGGGTCACAGATGGTGCGGCCAATAGCTCGGACTCCAACCGAGACAAGGGTGAGGTGTCTGAGTTAGAACAGAAGTGGGCGCAAACGCGCATCAACCGAGAAGGTGTTGCACTGCAAGTCCAAGACCAGCTGGCTCATAGCATCGCTGATGTCCTTCCGACACTCCATGGCATCTTCAACACCATCAAGGATGTGCCATACATGCTCACACACTCACCAGATACCCAAGAATTCTACGATCTCCTGGGACCTCTGAAGGAGGTCATGGATCGGCGGATGGTAACGCACTTGCCAGTGAACACTACCGAGTATGATAAGGGTGAGCTTATTCTTCAGTCGGAAGGCACGGATGACCTCACCAGATGGGTGCTTCGTCTCTGAATGTGTTCGCAGGTCGTCAACCCACTGCTAATCGTCCGAGTCCGGAGCGCGAAGTTCGACTGCGGGTTGTTGGCAGTGCGAAGGGCCTGGTAAATGTCCGTCGAGTGTCACCTGAACGCACGCAGCATCGCAAAGATTCGTACAAGGTTAGGTAAATAGGAGCTAATGACAACGTCGCCATTCTTGGAGCTTGCGCATGTTATAACAGTGGCGACTTCTGCGTGAGCGTACACAAGCGCAGCGGTAAGTGCAGTCGTATACTGTGGATTAACCCTTCTCTAGGGGTTGCCTCCGAGTCCGCGCGTCTTTGCGCTCCGACCACTGCCTCCGCCACGAGACATGCCCGCCTTTCCCTTTCATTCTCTGGTGCAGATTCTTACACCAACACACGGCAAACGGCAGTAATGCCAGTCACCTCCACGCTATCTGTTCCAGCGAGGCAGAAGATGGCACCGCGCAGGTCTTCTCGGATGTAGTGAATTTCGGTGCGTCGCTGGCCAGTGTCTCTGCATGTTGTCGGGGCCCCTCACATCGTTCCTTCAGACATGATCTACATGAAGAGAATAGTTCACGATATTTGCTGGCGCGCTCAATGATCTCGTGGACAAGTCATAGTGATGCATGCCTTGGCTCTGCCAGGTGACCGCATCCATGACCTTCGCGGGACGTTGTGCGAGGCAGCAGGCACACCCTCCATCATCCACTCTCGCAGCCTCACGAGCTATCGCCAATGTATGGAGCCTTTCGCGCCGGCACCCTCTGCCGCAGCTGTTTCAAGAACTGTCACCCCGCTATGACCAACTTCATTAATCCTCGGGCCACACCATCCACCTGCACGCCCACAGCCGCCCCTCATCCTCCGCGAGCGCGGCCACTCTCACCGCTTCTGATGTCGCATAACTGCCACTGGCTACCCTTGGCAGATCCGTTGCAGCGCAGCTGAGGACACTCGCCTGGCTGAGCCGGCCAGTGCTCCCGCTGTTAGCTCTCGCGCCGGCCTTCCCCTTCCAATGGGAGCTGCACATTTGCACCCTCTCGCTCGACGCCCGCGCTCTGCCGCGCAAACCATCGCGCACTACCCCCGCTCTCTCAGACTTTTGTACCCTCGCTCGGCCAACTACCAATGGGACTGGAGTTCAGTAGGTGCCTTGCGTAGATGTTTGCGTTGGCTTCGGGCCGGGTAGTCGCATCCGCATGGTGCTGATGACTCTCATCCCTGCCTTGCAGGCCTTTGCCGATCTCGCAGCGAGGTCTTGCGCACCCTCGAGAAGCCCGTGGCGCGGCCGCAGGGCTGCGCGTGAAGTGTAGAGTGCTGCGTGCATACCCGCTACTGTGATTGCGCTCGCAGTCCAACCTAATGGGCGAGCAGAATCCGCGCATGCTGCGACGAGGTGTTGAGGTCCACCGCCCGGAGTTGCTGCGGCGGCGAGCGCCAAGGCGAACACCTCAGAGAATCATCTTTCCTTCCTCCCAGGATGCTCGCGAGCTCGTCTTCTCGACCGAGGAAGCCCTCATCTCCACTTCGGTCACCTCAACTCTGCGCTTTGTAGCCTTGCTAACCCGCAAGCAGACCCCGCCATCCCAGTCCCGCGCGCAAGTCCCGCGCCAAGCATCAAGGCCGAGCGAGACGCACCGAACATGAAGCGAGAAGGGCATGATGAGGCAGCGAAGGGGTAGGAGGAAGGGAGCTGTGCGGGCAGAGAGTACAGGAGGGTCGCAAGTCGAAGGTATGCCGTTGGCAACGAACGTACCCCCCTCGCTGCACCGCGGACCTTCCCTTGTCATCCACCCCCTCGCCATCATCCGGTATTCTTGTCAACAATCTGTCCGACTTCCGAAGCGGATGGGTCGAGTCTCGCGCTACCAGATGCCATACCGCGCGCTCGTCGAGAAGCAGCAGACCGCTGCCTCAACTGCACTCCCCTCCGTGCCTGGGCCCTCGCCGATCGCTCTCCTCATCAACCTCACGGGCGGCGACTCCCAGATCAACACACCACACCGTCGTCGCCACACGGCGGCGGGAGCTCGTCGGAGGATAGCTCGTCGAGCACAAATGCGTTCTCGATGCAGCTCAAGAAACTCTACCGGGCCATTACTGCGCTCGAGCAGAAATTTCTCGGTGAGCAGCGCGATAAGGACGCAGATGACGAGGGCGATCGGAATCCGCAAACGGTCGGTATCCTTGTCAAGGGACGCCCTGGCCCGGCGGGGGGTTTGGCAGGGGGTGTAGAGGTGAGAGGAGGCGAAGACGAAACGGAGAAGTGGAAACGTCTCTTGGTCGATCATAAGGAGTGCGTACATTTGATTTCAAATTCCTCGCCCGCGTGTCGCTAACTAATTTGTAGGCTCGCGGAGAAAGTGCAAAACCTTCTTACGCTCACGCTAGCACCCACTGTCCCGGCGTCGTTGCGCAACATCCCTACCAAGTACAACCTCATCGCACGGCTATGGGCGCACGCCTTCCATCGCCTTCTCGAGTCCTTCCGGCAAGCCGCCTCGCCACCAAATAACTCCCTCGCTGCTCTGGAATATCTGCAGGTAAATGTCATACTCGGCCCGATTAGGCATGGTGGCTCATCTTCTCTCGCGTGACAGGACTTCATATACTACGCATACACTTTCTATTGTGCTCTTCTCGAGGAGCACAATCTGTCCGACTTCCGAAGTGGATGGGTCGAGGCCCTCGGCGACCTCTCGCGCTACCAGATGGCGTACTGCGCGCTCGTCGAGAAGCAGCAGACCGCCGCCTCAGCCACACTCTCCTCCGCTCCTGGGCCCTCGCCGATGGCTCTCCTCACCAACCCTACGGGCGCCGACTCCCAGATCAACACGCCACGCCCGTCGTCGCCAGACGGCGGAGGGAACTCCGATCGTGCAGAGTTACGCGCACCGGCGGCGCCCGAGGCGCATGCGCGCATCGACGACTCGCCGCCTCCGTCGCCCGGACCTGCGGCGAGGCAGCTCCTCGATGTCCCCAGCGTCGGACTTGCCGCCGGGCGTGCGATGGAGCTCGTGCCGGAAAAGGAGCACTGGAGGCAGGTCGCGCGTGACTGGTATGCGAAGGGCCTGGCGGGGACGCCTGGTGCTGGGAAGCTTCACCACCACATCGGGCTGCTCTGCAGGGAGAGGGACGGGAGCAGCGAAGAATTGCGAGGAATGTATCATTTCGTCAAGAGGTAGGTTGCTTCGCTTGTATATGGGGGCGTGATGCTGATCTGTATCTCTTTTAGCATGATCACTGTGCACCCGTACAGCACCTCCCGCGAGGCGATCCTCCAGGTCTGGTCACCAGCCGCCCAGACGCGCCGTCAAGGACCCGACGCCGATGTCGCCGACCTGTACACCCTCCTCCACGGGATGCTCTTCACCCACATCCAGATGGACGACTTCCGTGGTGTACAAGACCGCTTCGACGAGAAGCTAAATATCGAAGGTCAGTTATGTCTCAGTAAGCAGAGGTGAGTCAATGCTGACGGCTGTTCCCTCAGGCGGTGCAGTTGTCGAAGAGCGCGACTGGATTATGATGGCCGTCGTCAACCTTGGCGCCGTCCTCGAGAGCTCCGATTGTGTGCAGCTGCGCGCACCCGAGGCGCACGCGCGCCTCGACGACTCGCCGGCGACTCGATCATGATGGCTGTCGTCAACCTCGGCGCCGCCCTCGAGTACGGGCGGCCCACCGCAGTCCTGCGTCACTGGCATTGGAGGGAGAGACGGCGTCGGCGCTCGCGCTCGTGCCAGCCCCGCCATTGCTGTGTCGTCCGCGGGCAGAGTCAAGCTCATGGCGAAGAGGGCCGAGGAGGACGACAAGAAGATGACCCTCGATGACGAGGACACCCCGCCGCGCAAGACCGGCCGGGAGCTCGACGCCATGAGTATGCCACCTGCGCTGCCCGAGGCTGCATCGAGCGGCCGGGAGACCGCGCCGTCTCTCAAGCTCGGCATGCAGTTCGCCTTCTCGATGCTCGCGCATGCACTGAAGAAGCCGATGCGCAAGTCCTCCCCATTCGCCCCCTCGACGCTCAACCCGTACATTACCGTACTCCTCAAGCATCCCGAATCGTCCCCATCATTCCGTCATTCGGGTGCTATCATCCGCTGCGCATAATCTATCCCGAAATCCCCGGGAGCTCGAGGAAGTTCGTCGTCTTCTGCGTGACAAGGAGGCAAGACGACGGGAACGCGCAGAGCACCTCATCAGAGAGTTGCCTCCGCCTGACAAGGACGTCGCGAGGCGTGTGCGCCAATCATTGTATCCTGACGACGACGAGGCCATCCATACTGCAAAAACGGCAGAGTCAACTAGTGAGTGTCTGTGCCTTACAGGCAGCTTTGTACTGATGGACCCTCCCAGTCTCTGTCGGATTCGCTGACAGAAGCGATTCAAGACGATGTGTCTCTTTATAGACTGAGTGTACCGGATGACTTCCTCGGCCAACTCCAACATGGGCTCATCGACAGTGACCGTCAGTGAATCCTCGGAAGCACCGCCTTCCAATGCAGATTCGCTGGCAGCTTCAAGACCTGAGCTAGACTCACACACAGCGAGCGAAGCACCTACGCTCCACGGAGACGAGCTTGCAGCATCTGCCAAAGGAGATAGACCGGGTGTCTGGGATTGGATGGGAACCTGGTGGACCAAGGGAACGAAGAACGGGCAATCTTTCACCCGCCCCGACTCGAATCATCGCCGGACTCAGTGCCATCGTCGAAAACCTGGTAGACACCATGCTGCCCGCCCCGAGGATGCTTCATCTGCGACCTCAGCTCCGCAAAACCCGAACCAACCTAGTCGCCGCAAGGCTGTCCGGAGCGTCTTTGGCAACCTGGGCTTCTCGATGCTGAACCCTTCCGTGAACTCGTTGGGCTCGCAGAAGCGCTGCACCACGTCCGTAACGGACGCCCGCCCAAGGCTTCGAGCTGCCAACAGACACAAAGTCGGTGAGGAGTGTGCGCTCTGCGGCTTCTTCCCCGTCCAGACCGCCGTCTTTGCTGCCACCGCCTGTTTCGTCTGTCCCTTTCAAATCTGCGTCGCCATCCAATCCACCTTCCATCATCTTTCCTTGCGACTGCCGTCAGGGGCACGCAGGCGCTGGCCGCCATGGGACTTCATCTCCTGGGAAGACCTCGCTGCGTTCCTCGCCGCGATCCCGCGCCATGTGACGTACCGCGAGCAACCGAAGGAGTGCAACGATAGTGCGGTTCTGCTGACGAGTGTGTGCAAGCCCCTTCCGGAAGACTCGTGTCTCCGCGGTCTTCGATGGGGCGGCAAGCGTGTGTACCCAATGGGCTTCTGGGGCAAGGAGGCGATCAGGGAGGATAGGAATGTGGAGGTGGGTGTCCTGGACAAAAGCGAGGGTGGGCCGAGTTGGACGGTATCATCGAAGATGAGTAGGGCGAAAACGAGGCGGCGAACGAGCTCAGCAAGCGCTGGGTCCGCGTTGCGCGCGCTGGCCTCAAGATCGCGAAGCATGCGGGCGGTTTTGCGTACTACCTGGCTGCGAAGGAGCAGAGGTGCCAGTGGAAGGTCGAGGGCATGCTTGCCACGAAGGTCGAGAGGTGGCAGTAGGAGGAACGGCGAGAGCGCAAGGAGGAAGAGCGGTGCCTCGGGGGCCGCCGGTGGGATGAGGGCTCGATGGATGTTGACGATGACGAGGGTCTCGCAGCGGAAGAGTCTACGGATGACAGCAAGGAGGACGAGAATGATACGCCCGAGATCAAGGCGCTGAAGGTACATTCGATTCCATGTTGGGCTGGCACAGGTGTTGATTGGTTTATTGTCAGGCTCGCCGGCGATATCTCCAGTCTCTCCTGGACTCGTCTACTCAGGGTCGCACCTCCCCGTCAATTCCTCGACGCCGCCCTCGAGGCCCGCAATCACACAAGCCAGCACGTCCTTGCAGCTCCCTCCGGGTCGTCCCTGGCTACACTATCCTTATTGTCGACACGAACATCCTTCTTTCATCGCTGGCAATCATCTCTTCTTTGGTCGAGAGCATGCAGTGGACAGTAGTCGTTCCTCTCCCCATGATCATGGAGCTCGACAGCCTGTCGAGCAATGCGTCGGCACTCGGCGATGCAGCGACGTCCGCACTGGATTACATCACTTCGCACTGTGTTCCTGATCGGTGTTATATTCGTAGGGTAGTCTCAAAGCTCATTCTCGGCAGCTCAGCGTGACGAACATATAACACCTGGCATTGATGCTTGCGCCCGGGCGATAGAGCCACGAGTGTGAGCACATCGCGCCTCAGAGTTCACTGTACAGTCTGTTGTCAAATGACGATTTGGACTCGTCTTTGAGGTGTGCATCGCTGCGATCTTCTCTGCCCAGCGGCGCATTGGCGTCGAGTCCCTTCGACAAGCCACCTCGCCACGAATAACATATCTCATGCCCAAGAAATTGCATTCGTAAATACTGACAACTGTTCTCAACGAGCCCAGACAAAACCGTGCCACCGTTTTCGACATCAGTTGGTGGCAGTCAGATCAATGGTACCATCTGGCCGAACAACATAGAACACTGCGCCTTCTGCCACCGTGAGATCAATATTCACCTCTGGCTCATTCTCCATGGCCTCTGGCTCTCCGGACGAGATACTGATGACGTCAGTGTCATCCAACTTCTGCAATGATGGTCCTGGACGATTGTTGCCAATGGCGAACACATCCTGAGAGCTGCCAACTACCAATAAAGGCAAGGTCAGCTGCACATCAGAGTGGATAACGAGGGCACGAACCTCGATTGAAAAGTGTGAGTCCTGTCGCCGACCTGCTGGGATGAGAAGAGGCTGCGTCGTCTTCATTGTCGGAGCTCGATGGCAGTGCATAGTACGCGAGCGAGTCATCTGGTGGTTCGATCCGACCAGCACAGCTGTGCATAAAGAGGACGTTGCGTCCGACACATCTGTTACAGCGGCGGCATCTCGCGAGCACCCGGGCGAGCGAAGCAAAGCTGACCCCCTCCGATGATGGATCGAGGAGGTTCAGGAGGGTAGTCGTGACCTCATCGTCGGATGGCGCGAAGTCTTCTCTTTGGACTCCTTGAGATAGTAGTGAGGGCAGTTCATCCCCTACGAAACATATGAGTTCGTGATGGACTGCCTCTGAAATTGACACCCAAACTTACAATCAATCTTATCATCCTCGTTCACCTGTGCAGATCGAGCCTTACTCGGTGTTGAAGCCGCTGACGATAATGGGGTCAGGGGTGACAGGGATCCACTTGATGGAAGTCCGATCCCAGCGAGTCCCACATCACGACCTATAGAACACTCGACATAAGCCCAAGGTAGCTGCAGTCAGACTATTCTACATCAAGTACATACCATTGGTGCTCGTCGGTGTCATGGGAACACCTACGAGTGACAAATAAGTCGTAGTTTGGTGATTCGACTCAATTGCATGACTTACCTTGCCAAATACCTCGGTGGACTCTTTTCGGGTATGTCGCCAAGACGAGGTTCTCGGACCAAATATCTGCAGAGTGCACGAGCTCCCTGAGATTGACTGCAAAGAGAGTTAGTTGGTAGTTAATGAAGAGGGCACTGCTCGAAGCTCACCGAAGTATGAACAATGCCCACCAGGGCGGCCGAAAGATCGACAGCCTAAGCATGGCGATCCAGCGTGAGCACTACGATAGCTGGGCGTGAAGATATGAGGTGGGCGTGATTGCCCGCCCGTGAGATCGCAGAAGCACCGCATGTTGTCCGGCCAGCATCGCTCCCTCGCAAATAGCTCAAGGGCGTCAAGCGGAACGATCTGGCCATCGTCGTGGGCAGGACTGGGTAGGCCAGAAATCAGTTCGCTCATGGTCAGAGGTGATATGCGGCAATGCGACTTGGCGACTTACAAACCAACGACTTGAAGTGACTGAGTCTCACTGCTGAACGACAGCAGCTGACTTGATGCTTTCAGCTCCACCTTCAGGGCTCGCTCGACTGGGGAGAGAACACGACTGGAACGAGAGGATGTGGGGGCAGAGGCCGAGCGCACATGGTAAGGCTGGGTGGAGCCATGAACCCTCGAGCGAGTCGTCCGTATCATCGCGGGGAGAGGTATTACGTAAGCTCGGTCAACGACTCGGAGAGGAGCTGGGACTCGGTCAACGACTCAGAGTCCAGTCCAGTTTTATATGCTGACTGTAATATTGCATGCGTCGCGGTGTCACATACTGGTTTATTCAGGGATTCCGGCAGAAACTACAGTGGTCACAGCTGTTACAGGCTGCACGGTGCACTGTGGCAGCGAAATTGAGGTCGACGATGAACTTCGAGAATAGAAGGATGCGACTGCAGCGACGATGATCTCCGCGAACTTGGCTAAGGACGATGAAGTTCGAGAATCGAATGCGAGGCATATGGGACTGTCAAACTACTGTCAAAACTAAAGTGGGTATTGTTCTTTCTTTACTCGGTGCATCTACATATGGTAAGAGGGCGCGGGAGTGGGCACCCAATTGGGACGGATCGCGCCCTCCGCTGTCGTCGCAAATCGAAGTTGCTCACTGGCAGCTGACTGGCAGGTCCTGTCAAGAACCTGCCATCTGTCAAAGGGCGAACGCGGACCACGCGTCCAGGCCTGACGTCACTTTGTGCGACGGCCGGCCAACCCTTCCAGGGTGCTCGAGTGCATGCCTCTGCCTCTCTGGTACGTGGTGCGGTACGGTGTGACGAGGGGCGTCATGATGCTCGCGGGGCTTGTTCGGGACTTCATGGTGTCAGTCACTTGGCTTCAAGCGATGATCGCCGTTCTGCATGAGGTCTCAGTCCACTGCGCCTGATCCTGTTCATCCCTCGGATCCTGGTTCAACTGCTGATACGGCTCCACACAGAAACTGTCCGAGCTGATCGTTGAAGCTGGGTACGTAATTCGAAGTGGGATCGCCTGTTCGGCTCGCGGCGTCCGATCGTCTCGCCGGGAACGGGTCTACGTCCCCGTCTTCGTCTCCGCCGCGACCTCTGCTGACATCATAACCTCAGTTTCCCGCCTGGCGTGGTCAACACAGTGCCGTCGCTCGGCTCCGTGGGCGGCGCGGCGCTCTCGTCGCACATGGACGTCGACAAGGTCGCGTTCACGGGCAGCACCGTCACGGGGCGCAAGATCATGGAGGCCGCGTCGAAGAGCAACCTGAAGAAGGTGCGCATCGTGTGCGCGGCCGGCGTGCCGGCCACCTCCTGCAACTGTGATACTTACGATCGGCGGATGCTGTGCCACTAGGTTAGCCTCGAGCTTGGGGGCAAGTCGCCGCATATCATCTTCGAGTCTGCGGACCTTGACCAGGGTGCGTGTGCGCGTGTCCTGGCGGCACGTTCCTACTGACGTTTGATCCGGAATGTGCCGTCTCGCGCTGGTCGTGTTCTCTGGTGCCGGTCTCGTAGCGGCGAACTGGGCTGCCCTCGGCATCCTGTACAACACGGGCCAGGACTGCACTGCCGGATCTCGCCTCTTCGTGCAGGAGAGCATATACGACAAGTTCATGCCGGTGGGTCACCTGTCGTGTCTTTCACGCCGCCTGCCAATCCGAACTCTGCCACAGATCCTTGCCAGCAAAGCAAAGCAGCTCGTGGTCGCCGACGGCTTCGACGAGAAGGCCTCTGGCGGTCCAGTGGTGAGCGTCCTCAGTCCCTCCACGTGCACTCTGTCGCGCCCCACACTCGGGTCCGCTGCCAGCTGGGTTCTTTCCTGGGGGATGTGGGTCTGTCGCCGCGAGCGCGCGAATCCCCGAACCTTGTCGGAGGAAGATCTCGAACCTTAACCCCAATGCAGGTGCAGAGATTGCTCCTCCGGGCGCTTCTCTGCCGCTCCGCCGAGAAGCGCTCACGCGCATTGCCGGCGTCGGCTTTGCGAACGGCGATGCTGCAGGCTCGGGGATTTCCCGAGACGGTGATACCGATGCAGCAGGAAGTGGGTTGGGTAGCCCGATCCTGTTTTTATCTGTCCGAGATGGGAATATTCTTGGAAAGTCGTTGATGCTCGATGGACGTGCAGGTGTCGAAGGTTCAGTACGACAAAATCTTCAAATATATCGGCCTCGGCAAGGAACAGGGTGCTAAATGTCTCGTCGGTGGGGAGAAACGCCAGAGCAAGGGCTATTTTGTTGACCCCACGAGTGCGTCGCTCGTTCACTTGCCGGCGGTGACCTACTAAGTCTCGAGTGAAGTCTTCACCGATGTGACGCCGGAGATGAAAATCGTATGTGCTTGCAGCTATAGGTTACGACCTGTGCCGCGCTGATGCTTGACCTACACCCAGTTCCAAGACGAGATCTTCGGTCCGGTGTTGTCCGTCACTAAATTTAAGACGGAGGAAGAGGCGATCGCGCAGGCAAATAACACGACCTATGGCCTGGGAGCAGGCCTACACTCTAGTGCGTCCGAATTTCATATCACTTACATACTCACCTGCCATCCCACAACCTTCCCAACTGGTTATCACACGCCGCTCTATTGAATGCTGACGACGAGCTTAGATGACGCAAACCAATGCATGCGTGTAGCCGGTGAGCTTGAGGCAGGGACGGTGAGTTTGATATTCTTGGCTTCTAGGAATCGGCGGACGATGCAAGGGCAACATATGAAGGCCTTGGTGTCACGTCTAACATCCTGTGTGGATCCGGAAGCTTCGATCATTCCGTCATACGTACCAGCCGAGTCATAGGTGCTGAGAGATTTGCGTCTCAAGCGCATTCCAAGTCCCCACTCATGGTCCTGTTTGTCATCCGGTGACTAATGCCTCCCATTCCAGGTCTGGGTGAACCAGTACAACCTCCTCTATAACAACGTTCCCTTCGGCGGCAAGAAGCAGAGCGGCATCGGTAAGCCTTATGGTTCATTGCCCGACTGTTCAATTGTGCCTTCGCCTTCTGGCCCGAGTGATCCCCCTGGCTGCGCGATGGTTCCGTGACGAGTTAGATCACTCGGCTTCGAGGCTGTGAACTGGTGCCGTTGCTTAATGTCAAATTCATCTGCAGGTCGGGAGCTCGGCAGTTATGCCCTGGAAGAGTACACCTCCGTGAAGGCGGTGCAGTGGAACTTTGGCGAGAAGCTTGACTTCCCGTTCTAGGCTACAACGCTCACAGGGGTGGAGCACCCAGCCGGAGTTGCTGATGGATAGAGGCGAAGAAGCAAACAATTTGTATACCAATGTACCAGTAAAAATACTCGGCCGCATCTTGAACTGTGATACATGCCATGTTATCTTCCGGGTTGTCCCTTGAGGTAGACCAATTGCACCGTGACCATGTGCAGGACCGCGACGAGTCGTTTGTGGGTCTCTCCCAATTCACATTGAGCGGCTTGTCTAGCATGAGTTACATATGAGCTGCAGTATGGATGCCTACAACAATTATCTGAGACGACCTGTACCGCTGTTGATTGCACCCGGACATATTATCTTCTCAGAGCGTCGTAACCAACTTGGCGTAGTCTGTGAGCTCCGATACTGCGGTACCTCCGAATGCGATGCGATACCTCTTGCAGACTCATCCGAGTAAGATATCCCACGGCCCATAAGCCTCCCCTCACCCCGAGGACCACCGTGACGGAGAAGCTCGCGATCCTCCTTTAAAGTCGTCGGGGCATTCGGAGCATCCCTCGCGGGCCGTGGCGACGCAGTAGGCGTTGGCTTACTCACATATGCCACCCAAACGCTTGCTTCATCATTGAGTACACTTACTGTCCAGTAGGCAGCCCGTAAACACGACCTTGTTGAGTAGGGAAGGCGGAGGAGGACACTGAGTCAGCATCACTGAGCCTGCTGTTCCAGCGTCAGCTCATACTAGCCTAGACCTGGTTCCTCACACAGTGGTGGCGGTGATGGGAGCAGGTAATTCTCGTGGCATGCTCGTAACGATGCACTCGCCCGGGCCAGCTTCCAGGGAACTTACGTCTCGATGCATGATAATGATGATATTTTAATTTTGTCAAACTCCGTAGTACGCGGCGATCATCAGCGTCTGTGTCGATCATACACACGCTCCCGACACATTGATCGCGCCGCTTGGCAGGTTCTAGTACCCTGCCGTCATGGATGCAGATCACCCGCTTCAGGGGCTGCCACTTTCTCGATAGCTGCAGAGAAGATGGTGCATTCGGACCTGGTCACGTACACGCCGTGTGCCAGACGATGCAGATATTAAACTTCTTGACTCAGACTTGGACCCAGCTATCGTCGCACTGGCAGCCACTCTGCCAGGAATATACGGCCACCGTCCACGCAACACAATGAGGTCTAGATGAGGTCTCGCATCATGACATGAGGGTGTTCAAGTCGTCACAGTAGCCGGTCGAATGCCACACTTACCGTGCTTGGCCGCAACTTTCCTCCGAGTCGGTATACTTATTCATCGCCTAGACACACAGCGGGTCTCGTTGGCGCACGAGACGCCCACTTTCCTTTTTGGAGAGTTTCACCGGTCTGCCGTTACTTCTGCATGCTCTTGACAAAATGACCCTTGTGCTGTCAAGACAGATTGTGACTACGATGAAGCCGGCGGCATCGTGTACAAGCGTCCGAGTCGTAACTTGGCGCCCGTCCTCCCGCTCAGTGGCACGCGGCATCGCCACCGGTGTCCTTAATGATGCATCGCACTAGGCAGTAGATCTCGCTAGAAAGCGATGCGGCCCTTTAGCACGGCGTTCCTGAGTCGAGGGTCCGGATTTGCGGGTTCCTCGCCTGCAAAATCAGAGCATGTCGAACGGAATGGATCGTCGCTTCGAGTCGCCTCGGACTCCCATTTGGGCCCCGTTGCGATTGCGCTGCGAATACTTGGCTTGACTAGACGCATCACTGGGGCCAATCGCCTGGTTACGCCTGATCGAGTTCTCCAGGTTACATCTAACATGCAGTCAAGTTTCAGTCGAGTAAGTCAGGAGTAAGTATCGTATGCGTGTCTGATCGGGC